TATAGTAATCACAAATTTAGTTTCTTACTAGCACTTTTAACGAGGTTTTGACGAGGTATTAACAAGATTTCTTGAAAGGCCTTTTCTACTGCAAAGGCCCTAAATTCAGTTTGTTAAAACCGAAAGCAATTAATATTGAGCTGGGGACTACCATAAGTAGTTAAGCTTGTTTCACACCTGCATAACGCAGGCCAGCTATCAAGATAATCATGTGATATTTATGTTCAGTAGCTATAATATTGAATAAAAGAGGCTGGATCGCGAATAAATTGAGGTTTGCTAGGCTGAATTGGCAATGGCTGATGTGGAATTAAAACTGTGCTTTTCTCTGAATTAGCCTTTTCTCACATATTCTTTAAGATAGAATTACTATATGCGGAAGGTCATTTATAATCATCCTCATCCAGTAATCTTGATTATGCGGGATTAGTCCTGTTCCAGTTGTTATTTTCACAGGGCACATTATCTCTGTTTAGCTCCTTTTTAATCTATTGATTTTTGTCTACTTGGATGAAATCACAGTCGATCGGTATGGTATAGGTGAGCAGATCTGTATGGTACACCTAATTTTTAAAACCTGCTCCAAATCAATTATAATATCATTATGCAATCAAAATTACTATTTCTTTTAGTTAGCTTTATATACAAGATTACAGAAATAATCATATTCAGACTTTACCGATAAGACCTAAATTCTGAAATTGTATGAATGGATTTTCAAATAATAATGACTCGTAGGAAAAAGAATCCAAAAATAACAGAAACAAGAAACGGTGTTTTAAATTACACCAAGTTTGTAAAAAATTTCTACCTCTGAAGAATCAGCTTTTCCTGTCAAAAAAAATTACCTAAAGGAATACCTTATGTATAAGGTTGAAACAGGCAACGTGCTAGCTAAATCTTTGAAATTGTATATAATGAACATTAAAGCTCATAATGAAGCACTTGGATTTGGTTGGAATAATCGTGATTTTGATGCTATTATAAAAGAAGTTTGGAACAAAATAGGTATTGGATATAATATGTTAATCAATATTTTTTTAATGTTTTATGGAAACTTAACTTCTTTGAACTCAGACAATCCAAGTTCTCCTGATATTTGCTTTGGCATTATTAATTCAGATGGCATTCTTTTCCAATTGGTAATGATTCAATTATCCAATATAATGCAGAAATCAGTAAAAATATTTTAACGATAACATTCCTTATAATCCAAATTTCTTTTATATTTATGATTTTAATGCCAATAATTATCCATATTCACTTAGTACTCATGCCTTTC